CATGTTTTGGGACGAGTATTGTTAAAACATGGAACCGCAAATGAACGATCAATTATTTTTCCTTTAAAACTCACTATGAAGATTCTGACCCGAATCAAATGAACCGCGGCTCACTACTATGCTACGCTACTTCAAGATTCAACTCAAGGACTACATAGAATCTAGTATAGTGAAATTCATATACTTACATAGGATACGAAGGGAATGCTAACAAGCACTTCCTCGTAGCCGACAAACAACTAATCATTTCAATTTCACTTTCCAATTTATCATGTTTGAGGCACATCAGTAGCCTCCTGCGCCTTATCTTCGGGTCCCCATCGTTGGACTCTCGCCGCCCTCCTCCGCTTCGCTCCTCGCCACGCGACGCTTCCCTCGTCGCTGTTCCTCTGCGCCGTGCTCTCACCAGTCGTCACATCTGGTAGCACTTGCTGTTTTTCGTCCGGAGGGGGTCCTTCATTCTGTGACAACCCGCTTACGCCCCGTTGCTGGCGGATCGTATATTGTCTGTGCTTCCTGCGGTGGACTACCAGTAGTTCGGTTTGTTGGGTAGCCCGTCTCAATGCAACTCACACACTCTGTAGGCCCCTCGCAAAGGTGCCGGGACTCTCGTCCCTATTTTATTTACTTCTCTCCTCAACTCCTGTGACTCTGGCCTGTTGTGACTAGCAGCCGCGAACTCGCTCTCGGTGGCGTGCTATCACTCACCTGACTCACCCTCTCAACTCTCGACCTATTGCCACGGTTCTTCTCTGGGCCTTCTTTCCCGGAATACACCGCTACTCAGTCTCACTCTTACGCTTCCGACTCGCCACGCGTCCGTAACTTATCGAGCGCCCACTCTCCGTGCTCCTGTCCTTCTAATCCACCCCCAGCACAACTCTGTCCACGCAAAGCACCGACGATTCGGGTCCCACTAAACCTCGCTTACTAAAGCCACTTGGATTACGCCTCTGGCGCCTACCCTACGGCTCGCAGCCACACAGTAACTCGGAGGGTCCTCTCCTCCTGGTCTCGTCGCCCGTCGCTGTCGTTGCCCCACGCGTCCACCAATGCACTGACGACTGATCGTCCGTCCAATCGCGCCTCTTCTCTCTCTTCTCCTTCTCTCTTCTCGTGTTGGTCCTCTGACCGCTTCG